ATTTTGAATTGAATCTGGAAATTCTTAATGAAATCATGATTTAATAGTTTAAGATTAGTGATTGCTTATTTTAAATTTATTTGATAGAATTTGAAGATTGTCTTTTGAACGGAAATATCAAACGCTAATTAGGTAATATATTGAATTTGTAAGTAAAACTTCTTGCGATAGCCAATTCAAGATGTATGTTTCACCTTTACAGAATGCCTATTCTTTAAGACAAGACAGTTCAAAATCACAAAAATTAATGACAATCATCAAAAGAAAGAATCTACAATCGAATTTTCAATTCAAAACTCAGAAACTTATTTACCAAATGCAATCTTTCAAAGAGAAACTGCAATTACAATCCTTTGAATTGAAATTAATCATAATACAATAATAACAAACTGAATAAATATAATAATATGCAAGCAAACAGGCAAACAAGGAACATAGAAGAAAGCGAGCAACGATAATATAATGAAATAATAAAATAATACAAAAACCAACTTTTACGTTGAATACAGCAATGCAAACAAATTTCATGCCAAGCATAAACACAAATTAATGAAAATGAAATTTTCTGGCGGTATTGTTTGAAAAAAAAGTCGAGTTTTTTTCCGAGTAAGTAATTATTATTGTTTTGCTTTCGTTGTTGTTGGTTTGTATAATGAAGTGAACAAGTTGGAATGTTGGTTATTTCTATAGTATTAGGACCGAGCTCTCGAGCGAAGCTTCATTTTTACACTGAGATTATCAGTAAAGCTTTAATTTAAGGCTGAGCTTAAAAGCGAGGCTTCATTTTTACACTGAGATTATCAGTAAAGCTTTAATTTAACGCTGAGCTTAAAAGCGAGGCTTCATTTTTAAACTAAAATTATCAGTAAAGCTTTAATTTAATACTAAGCTTAAAAGCGAGGCTGCGTTTGAAGTTAAGTATTAAAACAAAGCTTCAATCTGAAAACCAATATGAAGTGAAACTTTATTTCGGACTAAATTTGCAAGCAAAGCTTTAAATTAAAGCAAAACTTCAAATCTTAGCTATATTTTAGAACTAGGCTTTTGAAGAACACTTTTTGAAAGACTCTTAATAAAGACTTGCCTCAAACTTAAAGATTAAAGCTTAAAACATCTTTCGATCAAGCTAATGAGTTTCAATTTAAATGAAAACCTACTCTGCATCCCATAAATGAAGCTAAAGCAAAAGCAAGAAATGAGAAATTTCCTTCGTTTTATATGCAAGATTCCTTCCATAACGAGAAAGTAAATAAGTGAACCATGGAGAATCGTGGAGAAAAGAGCGAGTTGAGATGAAAATTTCTTTTTTCCTTTCTTTAATTTCTGCTTGAAAAGAAAACAGTGTAAATAGCATAGTTGAAGGAAATAGTTCTTAAACGATTTTTAAATGCTTTTCTCTTAATTTCTCTGTAAGAATTAATTACAATTAAGTATTTTTCATCGTTTCTTGTTTATTTAACGGGTTTAAAATTTCCTTTTAATTCTATTTAGTGTTATTTTTTTGTATTTCATTGTTTAAGTTGATTACACTGCATTGAATTTTGAATGAAGGAGAATTTGAGTTTAAGAAGTTTCTGAAATTAAATTCACCATCAAAAATATTGGTTTGAATGTGATCGAAAATACGTTCAAATCTTAAAAACTTTCAATAGATGCTGTTGGCATTTAATCAAAATTTCCTCGGTGTCATGAACGCTGGCTGGCTCACGAGTAAATACATTTCTTCCTTTTTTTCACAGAAAATACAGAACTAGCGGAATGGAATTGGCATTTAATCTCTTAAGTCCTTTGATACTTTACACATTGAGTTAACTGAGTCGAAAAAATATTATTTTGGAATTATAATGGAATTTGATGATTTTGTACAGCTATTGGAAGAACTTTTAATTCACAAAACATTAGCAATAAAGTTTTAAGGCGATTTAGTTCTTCTTGGAATTAAAAATGAAAATTCATCCCCTTAAAATTATGCAAACTTTATTTTAAGATTTTATAACTCGAAGCATTAACTCTGGATTCATAATTCAGTGGATCTCACGGTTATTCCTCAATAAATGAAGCTTCCATTATTGATAAAGTTTTATAGATTTATATTGCTTACTATTTGTTATGCGCTTTTATTGTGAGAACTATAACAATAGCAACAAACAATGGCGATTTCACAATTCAATTTTTGTTCCCAATCAAACATGAGAATTGAGGATTATTTGTGGATGTATGAATGATGTCCTCATGATCGTGATTAAATATAATATTTCATTTATTTTTGTGAATCATGACACTGGCAGATTTGCCTACAATTTGGTTTAATACCTTACATTCCAATCTGCTTGGAACCTACAAGTAATAAGCTTACCTTTAAAGTTAAGCCTATGTATCTGCTAAAACATATAATCATTTAATTGATGCTGTATTATAATCCCTCATCATTTTAAAGCTCCTTCAAATTTTCCCAAAAAAAAACTTCTAGCAGAATCAATAAAAATCTTCACTTCCTCCTGCCGATTTTTCCTCTCATCTCTTTATATCCCATGATCATCAGATTAAAATAAATCCAGTCAGGAAAAAAAAGAAAGTTTTCCCAAAAAAAAGAAACTTTTTCTTTCACATTATTTTTGTAGGTCAATTTTTGCGCACAATGCAATTTTATATCCATTCAAAAGTTCTCCAGCAGACTGCATTCGAATAAACTTTATACGTATGAAAAAATAGTTTGCAATAATGCATGATAAGCTTAATGACACAGTTGAGATGATAAACTCATCTATGTGTGTGTGGATGTGTGTGGGACGAGTAGATGAATAAGGATTTAAATTGGGAGAGAGTGAGTAAGTAGTTTATTGAAGCTGGCATTGTCTACATATGGTAGTGACCTGCAAATAATAAGAAATTTTTTGTAAAAGCATTTATCATTCATACATCTGCTCCCTAGACTCATGCATGCTTACGTTTTTCTATCTTGTGCCATTTTCTCATCATTCACAGGTTTCTCGTTTCAAAACAATTTATAATCGAGAGTCAAATGGAATTAGAGTTGTCATTACAAACATGATTAATGGAGTTTTCTTTGGGATTGTTTTGTAGGCATGTATAATGCTCCTACTCCTTACCTGGTCAAAAAACGTAGTTTTTATTTAATTTTTAAAGATTGTTGTTGAGAATATAGTAACGGTTATTTATTATTCGAATTATGTATGCAACTATAATAAGTTTGTTTCTCCTTGTATATTTGCTAAGCCCTTTTTATAAATATTTAGTCTCTTTCTGATCTTTGAACAATAAAGATCATTGTGAATATATATATGAGTAGTAAGATCTCTTTGATTAAGTTTATTAATAAATAAGCATTGTTATTATTATTATTATTTATTTGTCGACGTTACCGTCCGGAAGAATTAGTATTTATATATGTTTTACTTTTTACATTGATTAGTGATACATTTCATATCACTATGGGTGACGTAGCATCAAGCTTCTAATCTTCAAATCTAGGTTTCGATTAAATTCAGGCTCTCGTTTCGATCTTTTGTGGGCGTGACGTGATACATTTCAGGTCCGTTCTAACAATATTCCATTCGTGGGTAATCTTGTAGCTCTCGTTCCTATTTCTCCCGCTACCCTTCAAGTTCCTGATCCGTTCCTTAATCCAACGTTGCCCAAAATGCCCAATTATGGCTTGATCTCGTACATTAAGCAGTCGAAGTATCTAAACTTCTGAAAAAGAACAAATTTGGAAATGGCTGGATTCGAACCGATGACCTTCGAGTTACCATTACCAAATTTGAGCCATTGTGTTCATCATATCCTACTGGAGAATAAAGTTTTATTTAAAAAAAAGCTTCATTTTGTCAAAATTATTGTCAATTAATGCAATTTAAGTTTTTGTTTGCATTTACAGGTTATATGGAGAGAGGTTGACATTGAATTATGTTGGCCAGTTAATCATGTATTGCTGATGATTCTTAAAATCAACAATCTAGAGCATCCCAACCTCTAGCAGCCAGAACAACAGCAAAAATGTTCGATGAGAAAAAAAAAATCACAAAAACTCTATTTTATTGCTAATAAAAACTTTTGGTTTACATTCATCCTTAAGTGTAATGATGCTACAATGATATCAACGAGTGCCATAAACAATTCATATAATGAGGTTCTATTGAATGTTAAAGTAAGGCCATATTTCATGTTAGCTATTAGAAATAATTCAGTATATTCAAACAATCAACTTATTTACACAATTTCTGGTGCTTTTTCAGCTTTCATTTTTCGCACAAACAAATCAAATACTGGATGTGTCTTGCGCTTTTTGTTTTCTTATTGTTTGGACAGTGGATTTCTTCTGGATTGTTTCTCATTCGTTCTGGATTGTTTATTGTTTTCTTATTCTTGTTTTGATTGTAAACAACATAATCTTTCAAAAGGAAGTTACTTGATAGTCATTCAACAGTGATGTTTAAGTTCAAAATCAAGAATTTCAATTAATGTTGATTTCAAATTTTCCAAATCTTATAAAGAATATCTAGTTGTGAAGCAACAAAGCTTGAAGAAATTGAAAATAATCTTGCGGAAATGAAAACAAAACTAGAGAAAATTGAAATAAATTGCCACAAACAATAACAAAACAACAAGAATGCGAAGGCTAAAGTTAGAGATTCAAGGTCAATAACAGATCTGCTTTATTTTATTTGCTGAATTAAATTGTCAATGAAGATACATTCGATGTAGTTTGAGAGTTTCGATGTTTTCTGTTATGAATGCAATCAATATAAATTAAGCAGGACTGGGTTGCATTCAATAGAAGCTTTTAGTCTTGAACTTTATAAATTGGTTTGCATGCAATTGCAGTAAAAATGTGCTAACATGAAGCAATTAAAATCATGTTTTTCAGCTAATTGCATTTGTAATAATTTATGTAACTTGTGAATTAGCATGTGACATAGAAGACTCATTGAAATAAAGAAGTTCATTTTATTACTTCCTGTATATGAGTGCATATCAATATGAAGTTTGACGTTCAAAAATATTTTGATGTCTCAACGATTCATGGATTCTGCTATGTTTCAAAAAGATATCATATTGTAGGGAGGTAAGTGTTATTTTTGATATTAATGTATGTAACTTATATGATTTAATGTTATAGGATCTTCTGGGCTATCACTCTCACATGTTCAGCAATTTGTTCATTATTTCTCTTTTTTATGTTTTTAATAAAACTTGTCGACATTCCCATTGTTGTGTATCTTTCGGACAAGTCTGTTCCGATATCTGAAGTAAGTTTTGAGGACAGTGAAAAGGCTTGTAACAGGCGTAGCAAGAGTGTCTGCATTAGGTACACTCTTGCTAAGCCACTGAGGATTATCAACAGTCATGTCTTTCAGGTGAACTTTCCAGCTATAACAATATGTCCAGATTTTTTGCCATACCTAGCAAATGAGTTTAAAACTAAGTTTTTTCACTACGAGAGGCACACGACTAAAAAAATATATTACGATGCTGTTGCATATTCAAATGAGACAGTTGATGAGAAGAAAATTGGTGAAAGTTATACAAAAATTTTGGATGGAATTGAAAAAGGAGAAATTGATTATCAGAAGTTGGGTTTGAAAATGTGAGTATTGAGCTATACAACAATTGCAAGTTCTGATGCTAAAGCGATATATAGCGACAACTCTTCTATTGCTGTAATTCACATTTAGTCGCTATTATGGATTCATTTTTTTTTTCAGCCTTAAACGCCTTCAAGTTGTAGATATTATTACAAACCGTGGAGTATTTGCCAATTTAAACTTTTCAATACCAAATGATGATTTCCTCAATATCATGAATGAGTTTAAAAAAGAATTTTTAGACATGGAACAAACACTTAATATACTATGGATGGAAGATGAGAGACAATACGTGTCGGAAATTTTAACGACGGAAGGACTGTGCTTTACATTCAATAATGCTTTTGCTAATGATTTATTGAATCTAAATAATACATCAAATGACTTTCATTATCAGCTGTTTCATCTCAGAAGTGACTCGAAAGATTATGTTCCACCGCCAATACTTCCAAGAAAAATTGCATCCTCGTTTCCTGGACTTCGATTAAAATTTGATGTCCTAGCTATGTTCCTTAAAGAAATTTATGAAAAAAATCCTCACGGTCTCTTGTGCTTTATTCACGATCCTTACGAATTGCCATCCATGAATTCTAAAATTTTGAACGCAGATTTTAGGCAAAGAACTCACATTACTATTAATGCAGAGATGAATTCAATTGAAGATTCAGTTGAGAAAGATTATGGACCTGCTGAGTAAGCAATATGTTTGATATTTGTATAATTAATACTTATGAAATGGAAATTTTAGACGAAAGTGCTACCTTGACAATGAGAAGAGATTGAAATTCTTCAAAAAATACACAAAAGCAAATTGCATTCAAGAATGCTTAACAGATTTTATTGTTAATAGTTGTGGATGTGCTGAATTCTATATGATTCGTAATTCTACTACTCGAATTTGTTCTGCAAGTGAGGAGAAATGTTATCTTAGTGCTAGAGATGCATTTTTGAATTTCCAGAGCAATTGTGACTGTTTAAGACCTTGCAACTTTGTAAAATACCATTTAGAGATTATTCACAAAGATTTGCAAAAGTATAAATACTATTCACGTCAGAAAACCTTAGAGTTAAGTATGAATTTCAAAAGAGACAGCACAAATCATTTTATTCATTCGCAGCTTTATGATGTGATGGATTTACTATCACATCTTGGAGGATTTCTAGGATTAATTGCTGGATTTTCATTTCTGTCATTTGTTGAACTGATTTATTGGTTTACATTTCGAGCTGTTGTTAAAAATTGTCATCGATCTACACGAGTCTATCCATTTAATGAACAATCTGAAAATCAAAGAAACTTCATTTCTTTCGATCAAATAACTAAAGACTTTTTGAAGAGCTCATCAATACATGGACTGAGATATATTGCTGAAAAGAATCTAATTGATAAGTAAGAATCATCAAAATAACGTTTGAAAATAAATTTCATTTCATTTTTAGAATCTTCTGGGCAACTTTTATTATTGGATCTGCAATTATAGGCACAATATTGATTTTAAAAACAAATGAAAAGCTTCCAAATAATCAAGTAATTTCATATGATGATAGTCTTGAGTTTAAAGGAAATGTAAGAATGCAACTTATAATGTCAAATTATAATGTCAAACATGTCTTTTCTTTCAAGATAATTTTTCCGGCAATCACCATAATTCCTGAAGTGGTCATTAAACGAAACTATGATGAAATATTCAAGTTATTTCGGTCGAAAGACACTGAAAAATTAGAAATGATGATGCAAAATGAGACATTTAAGAACGATGTTATAAGGTTGGTAATTGATTAAATCTAGGTTTCTAGCAAAATCAATTAAATGTTCCTTAATTTCTCGCTAAGGACTTTCTCAAAAATGTGTATATGCTTCGAAAATTGCATTCCAGCAAGTAATTTTGAGGGTAAAATGTTTTATGATTTTACTACAGATGCAATAATGTTGATGCAAGATGAAGCAGCGACCGATTGGTTTCAGGAGCAGTTTGCTGTATTCAATGATTATATCAAACCAGTTTTTTCTAAAATTAGAACTAGATTTGCAATGAGTTACACTTTTAATATTATTGATGATGACAACCTGCTTAATTTCAAATCGTAAGTCTTAAAATAGTTAAGAATTCAATAAATTGAGCTCCTTTCCAAACTTGCTTTACAGCATCAATAGTGAGTTCCGATATTTCCAAAACATAACAACAATGCAGCCAGAAAATATTCTTCAGACAGCTAGAAACATAAGTATCAGGATAGGAAGCGAAGCGATTTTAAGCATGAGATTTAAAAAATTAAAAATTGATCAATCTGAAGCGGTTTGTAAAGAAATTGGAATTTTAATTCACGGGATCGATGAAATGCCAACGTTTTTCAAACGTGAAGATGTTATAAATATTGCACCAGGTCAACTGGATATAAAAGTAACCCCGGAAATTGTTAAGTCTGATAAAGACATACAAAAAGTTAATTTTAATATCCGAAAATGTTACTTTGAGGGTGAAAAGTCATTAAAATATTTCAATAAATATTCAGAAAAGAATTGCATTATTGAGTGCTTAACGAATTTTACACTTAAGATGTGCAACTGCACCGATCCATCGCAGCCATTTGAGAAGGAAAACTATTGTCTTCAAAATCAACATGATCGCAGTAAATATTGTCCATCACGAGCACTTTTTAAGTTTCATTCTGACGAGAATTCAGAGGAAAACTGTGGATGCATACCAACATGTGATTCAATCACTTATCATGTCAAATATTCTTATAAACTTGCAAAAGATGAAGATGAAGTTGAAATCAATGTTCGACTCAATTCTGAAGATGCAATTCTATTCAGAAGATATCAGTTGTTTACATTCTCGGATGTTGTCTCTTATGTTGGTGGATTATTAGGACTTTTGGCTGGAATATCAATGCTCTCAATCGTTGAGTTCTTCTATTTCTTCGTAATTCGTTTGCTTGTCAATATTCACAGATTTTAGGATAATGACACGATAAAGCATAGAATTAAAAATCAAATACATTTTTCAAAAAACAGGAATCTCAATACAGTGCATGTTGTTAAAATATTACATTGAGTCTAAAAATTACTGAATTTATTGCATTACTGCATTTTTAAAAGACACGACGCGTCAAATTTTCTGAATTATTGAATAAATGTAAAATTTTAAACTATGAATTTGGTTCTTAAATGTTACCATCATTAAGACTCATCAACTGTTCACAAAAGCAAAAGAAGTAACGTTTCCAATCAAGTCATAACAATTCCTTTCAAAACATATCATCCTTATCAACCACAGATGATCTCAGCATGTTATGGACACATCAATTCATTATTCTTATAACTATTTGAAATGGCGAGTTGTGACAATCGAGGTGACAATGGCAACAAAATAATGATTACATATCACACTTATTGATCCGTTCCATTCATTCCGTTTATCTTTCCATTTAAATGACATTTCTAACCCATCATTAAGATGAAATGTTGATTCTCAAAATATATATGTTTGTGTGCTATTTATGGATGTGACGGTAATAAATTATCATGTGTGCTCAATGCACTTTTGTTATCAATGTGTCTTTATTTTTCCACATTTTCGTTTGCTGACGATTTGAAGTATATGAGAACTTTGGTTGCAGATTGTCATTTGCTGGTTCTTTTCTATTAGAATCAGCAACATCCAGCAAGACAACAGCTTCTTAATGCCATTAATGGTTGTCACCAGCAACATCAATTGAGAATACAGCTTTTATATGCCACTGATTATGGTCACCAGCTGATCGAATTAAATACCAATGTATGCCAGGCTAATCGGCTCTCAGGACAAAGGATTCACCGGCTTTAATGTCAAAAGCGCCAAAATTATATTTCAGCTGTCACATTTCCTTACTCGTTTTCCATTATTGTCGTTTGTTGTTGCTATCATCATCATTATTTACAGGACGAAAGTAATAATGGTTTTCTGTACAGCATAAATAAGAAATCGGCAGTAGAAAATTGAATATATGTGAATAGTCCTAAAATTTATGAACATGCGTGACAAATATTTGCCTAATCAGAATCCTCACATTGTGTGTATGTGAATTTATTGAATTGAGTATAAGCATGAAGGTGAATTATCATCATATCGAAAGTAAACATAAAAGGATAGGAATAAATGAGAGTACGAAATAATTTTGATTACTCACTGCACCTTCTTTTCTATTTCATTTCCTCGATCCATTCATTTAGTTTTCTCCTCCTTCTTTCACTTTTTATTTCACTTTTTCTCCACTTTTCTACTTGATAGATTAAAGTTTCCGAAATGATTCTTAATGTGAGCTTAAAACGTGACGTTTGTTTTATTTCCACACTTTATATTTGTTCGATAATTTTCATCAAATGAATGCTGGCATCTAGTGAACCTTTTTCTTTCATCAACATCTATCCAAGGGGGTTGAAGCTTAAGATTTAATATACTCGTGTCCTACAAAAAATTCAAAATGGCGAATTTTTTCTACCTCGAAAAGTATTTTCTAAATTGTTCTTATTTAATTGGAACTTCAGGCAATTAAAGTCGCTATATAGCTTTTAAATAGTGGCAAGAATCATAATTTCAAGTATCAAGAACATAAATTAAGTCTAGTAATAAGAATTTTAACTTTTAAAGTTTTCTGAAAAACAAAATGGCATTTGAATTTAGAGAAAATCTGAAACTTTACATGTGGTTCATACTTTCCCACGTGTAAGATAAAATATAAGAAAACCAAGAAGATCTTTAGAAATCAATCACGTTGCAAAAATCAACTTGACTTTACTTGGCATTGAGTATTCATAATAACATCTCAAGGTAATGGTAGCCAACATCGCTTGCTTTTTCAACAATTCACAACTTTATTATTCAAAAAAAGTTCTTCTTCCACTAAGTTATTCTCCCCTATGCAAACAGCAACGATAAGGAGCAATGAGAGAAGAATAAAAGACGGTTGGTAATAGCATTGATAAGGGAAGCCTTCATTTTAAGGTATGTAAGAGGCGAAAAAAAGGAACTAATAAATGAAGGAATTTTTTACAACATATATTCAGCACTTAATTTACTATCGAAATAAAAATTTTCTCTTAAAGATATACGTAGAACAAGAAGCAGAATGAGGTGAGGTAAGGCTTATGAATACGGGAGCAATGAAATTGATATATTGAAAGATTTTTACATTTCTTGATACCTTGACGATAAATTATATCGATGTGAAGGGAAATATAATAATGAAGCACAACGATATCTGAATTTGCTATGTAAATCATTCACCCGAAAATTGTATGTGTGCGTAAAAATGGTGCTTCTTGCCACTTCATATTTGCTTAACATTTGGTGTGAAGATGCTGTAAAAGGATCATTTTGTTGGTAATTTTTAATTGTCTGTATGTCTGGCTGTGTTTAAGTTGGAGCTAAGTTGAGTTTGAACTTTGGACGAGATCTTAACCGAATCAGAGGAACATGATGGGATTAAGATCTTATCAATATATCCTCTAAATTCCCATACACTGCAACCTTTTCCTTGTTAAGATCAAGCTAAGCCTTTTGGTCATATCTAACCTTTGCTTTTATATCTGATTTTAAAAAAATCTCAATTCAATCCCAATAAATTCCTGCGCCATTAAAACATCCATCACCTCAAACGTTCTAAACTGCTCTATTTTTTCCCATGAAAACAATAGAAGTTCGATGAGAGTGAGATGTCTTATTATGCTCCGCACGAATAACGTTATTGTTATGTTATTTTTCTTACCATACAATCTTTCCTCATTTATTTTTGGCCTCTTTACTGCCTTTCACTTCATTTTGTTCAGGTACGATAGGAGACGGTAAAATGGAAGGAGGGAGAGCAAAAAGGTATCGGATCTGAATGAAAGGTTGGGAAAAGAAAATCACTAATGTAGACGTGAAAACCATCAAGTGGCAAAATAGAGAAAAGAAATTTTCACTCTGGAGAATGAAAAATCCTTTTTTCGCCAAGAGCTGCCATTGCCATCATCGTACAATGATGTTTTCATCCTTACCTCGTCTTATTCTTTTGTTTGGGCAAGTCTTGTGGAATAAATTTGCATTTTTTTAATGGATTCTTGTGAAGTTCAGAATAATAAAGTTTTAAAGAGAAACAATTAACGGCTTCTGAAAATTTGAATTTCAAACGATTTTTGAGAATTTGAATTATAACGGTTCCTGAAAATTTGAATTTTTGCATTTTCTATAAATGAACTTTACGAAATTTAAATAGAAATGGTCTTTAAAATTTCAAAGTTTAAAGATTTTAAATTATTTTAAATTTTAAAGGATTCAAACTCAGTTTTTCAACATTCTATAGGATTACCCAAAACCTACAAACACACATACTCGCATATAATATAACTTAAGCTATCAGTTTGTATATTTGAATATTTTATCTACAGCAATTTATCATTTTGTATCCATAATTCTTTTATTTTTCTCTTCTTCTCATCTTCACTCTTCACACACGACTGCTGTTTGTTTTCTTATCCTCAACACTTTCTTCTCCCTCAATTCTCTTGATAAATCATTGTGATAAAAAGAATCCTTCTAAACTCACTATCATCATATGTGATGTTTAAAGTATTTTAAACATTTGAGGCTTGATTCAACATCCAAACATGAGAGAATTAATTTTTTTAAAAATCTTTGGTTTTCAAAACTTGAATAATTGATAAATTTGAACTTGACATGATGATATTGAGTTTTCTTACCAAATTCCTTTATCTTTGTCTTTTCAATTTCTGTCTCGAATTCGATGTCAAAACTGATATAGATGACATGAAGATATAAACAAATATTTTCATGCTATTTGTCGTTCACTTGCCATCATCACATATGAATTCTGTAAAAATACACGATTTACGTGGGAAGTCAATAGCTTCCGTGCTTCAATATACACAATCTAAATTTATATCTGTAATATTGTTGCTGCGTGTTGCTTAAAATAGACAACATAAATAGAGATTTCAAAATTAAAATCTATAAATATCAATAAGCACACGAATGAAGAAATAATAGAAAAATTCAACAATTGAAAGCATTGAAATTCCAGCCAAAAGTCCCAAAAGTCCACCAACATATGAAACAACATCCGAGAATGTAAACAGTTGATATCTTCTGAATAAAATTGCATCTTCAGAATTCAGTCGAAGATTGATTTCAATTTCATCATCATCTTTTGCAAATTTATAAGAATATTTGACATGATAAGTGATAGAATCGCAAGTTGGTATGCATTCACAACTGTTTTCGACATTTTCTTGAGATTCAAACTTTTGTACAGCTTGTGATGGACAATAGATATTGTGATCGTAGAAATCTTGATGACAAAAGTTTTCGATCTCAAATGGTTGTGATGGATCAGTGCAGTTGCACATGCTAAGTGTGAAGTTTGTCAAGCATTCAATGATGCAGTTCTTTTGTGAATATTTGTTGAAATATTTCAATGACTTTTCACCATCAAAGTAGCATTTTCGAACAGACGAGTCAATCTTCTTCATATCAATATCAGTCTTGATGATTTCAGGAATTACTTCTACATCCAGTCTACCTGGTGCAATGCTCATAATATCATCTCGTTTGAAAAATGTTGGCAATGCATCAATGTCATGAATCAAAAGTCCCATTAATTTACATAATCCTTCAGTTGAGTTAAGTTTGTGGCTTTTTAATTTCATTTTCAGAATTGCTCCGGTTCCTTTTCTGACGCTGATGTTCCTTGCAGTCTTAATTATGTTGTCTGGTGCTTTTGTTGTTACGTTTTTGAAGTATTGAAATTCTTGATTGATCCTAAAAGGAAAAGAATTCAGAAAGCTGAGAGATCGAAGTATAAAGAATCGACAGCATCTTACGATTTGAAATTGAGCAGCTTATTAGTATCAATGATATTAAAAGTGTATCCCATCGCTAGTTGCGTTCTAATTTCTGCATAAACTGGGTTAATAATCTCATTAAAAGTTGAAAACTGTGCTTGAAACCAAACTGTCTCAGGTTCACTTTGCATCAACTTTTTTGCATCTGAGGTAAAATCATGAAACAATTCATCATCAAAATATTCTATTGGGACGCAATTTTTAAAACACGTGCAAAACTTTGAGAAAAGTCTGAAAATTCAAATTAAACAATAGTTAGCAATTATATCTGTTGAGGAATGACTCGAAGCTATGGAAGGTTTTTTGTGATCAAAACAGTCACAACTCAAAAATATCCAATCGTAACCTTCAAACATAAGTTTTATGTCATTTTTCATAACATTATATATGTACCTTATGACATCATTTTTGTATGTTTGGTTCTTCATCTTAATTGCCACACGTTCATTTTGATCTTCATCTCCAAACATCATAAACATTTTATGAAAGTCATTATGGATTGTAATCTCTGGAATTATTGTAATTGCTGGGAAAATTACCTTTAAAATATTTTAAATCAGCAGATTATTCAAAATGTTTTTAACAATAGCTCACATTTCCTTTAAACTTGAGACTATCGTCGTACGAAATAATGTGACTATTTGGAATTTTCTCGTTTGTTTTTGAAATCATTAGCAATCCTAGAATTGTTGAGCCGCCAATTAAGATACTCCAGAAGATTCTTAAAAAAAGCAAAAATTTAATTCCACTTGAACTAAACTAAGAGCTGGTGAGAGGACTATTCTAACACCAGAATAACCATTAAAAAAAGGTTGCATTTGAAAGCCCTTTCAACCAGCCATAGCTGCACCTACTTGTCAATAATCTTCCTTTTTGAGATATATCTCAATCCATGTATTGATGAGTTCTTTAAAAAGTCTTGAGCTACATGCTTAAAATTCATAAAATTCCTTTGACTGTCTTGATTCTCATTGAAAGGATGGACACGCGTTGATTGATGAAAGTTCTTCATTATAGCTCGAACTGTAAACCAATAAATCAGTTCAATAAATGAAAGAAGTGAAAATCCTGCAAATAATCCTAAAAGTCCTCCAGCATAGGACAGTAAGTCAAGGACATCATAAAGCTGCTTGTGAATGAAGTGATTTATGTTGTCCTTTTTGAAGCTCATGTTCAACTCCAACTTTTTTTCTTCAGTGTAGTAATTGTATCTATTTTTGGAATTGAAAATTCATAACTTAAAAAACTCATTTATGGTCAATTAAGAGTGATTAAGCACATTTTCAAAGACTTACCTATCGAGATCCATTTGATTGCTTTCCAGTTTGTATTTGATGTGATTGCATGGACTTAAACAGCCACAATCGCTTTGTGAACTCAGAAATCCATTTCTAGCACTAAGATAACATTCCTCCTCGCTTGCTGAACAAATTCGAGTAGTTACATTACGAATCATAAAGAACTCAGCACATCCGCAGCTTTTGATCATGAAATCTGTCAAGCATTCTTGTATGCAGTTTGCTATTGTGTATTTCTTAAAGAATTTCAATCTCTTCTCACTGTCAAGGTAGCAGTTGCGTCTATAAATGAACTTCAATAAAAAAAAAAATCTCTTTTATTATGTCTTGAATACTTTACTTACTCTATTGGTGTATAGTCAACAATTGAATCATCAATTGTATTCAGTTCTGCATCAATGGTGATTTTAGTTCTTTGAGTGGCATCAAGATTAAACATTTTTGAGTTGCTCGATGGCAACTCGTAAGGATCGTGAATATAAAATACAAGACTGTGTGGATTTCGTTCAAAAATGTCATCAAATAGCATCTTTATGACATCAAACTTCATTTGAAGTCCTGAAAATGAAGATGAAATTTTTCTTGGGAGTGTCTTTGGTGGAACTAAGTCACTAGAATCGCTAAAATATTTTAAATGAAAAAGCTGACAATGAAAGTCATTTGATGTACGTTTGAGCTGCAATAAATCCTTTGAAAATGCAATATTAAAGGTAAGGCATAACCCCTCGGATGTCAAAATCTCTGATACGTATTGTTTCTGATCTTCCATCCAAAAAACATTAAGTTCTGATGCAGACTTTAAAAATTCCTTCGAAAACTCGTTAATTATGCTTAAAAAGTCGTCATTTGGAATTGAAAGGTTTATTTTAGCGAATAGTCCTTGATTCGTAATCATATCCACTACTTGGAGTCGTTTTAAGCTAAAAAACAACAATTTAATCTAGGAACTGAATTTTAATAAATTCTTACAGTTTCAATCCAAACTTATGGATATCAAGTTCTCCTTTTTCAATTCCATTTAAAATTTTGGTATAAATTTTGATTCCAATTTTATTCTCGTCAGTTGTCTCGTTCAAGTATTCTTGAGTGCCATACTTTATAACCTTTGCTGTGTGCTTCTCATATCGATAGTGTTGAGAATTAAAATCATATGGATGGTATGGCAAAAAATCTGGACAAATCGTTACAGCTGGAAAGTCTACCTGAAAAGGAGAACGATTTAGTTCCTGATTATGATTCTGGACATTGATTTAAGGTTTGCTTGTGTAGACAAAAGATCTAGTTTTCAACTGGACATCAATATCAATGAGCTCCTTTCAAAATTTAACTATTCAGAACTTACTGCAGAAATTGGAACAGCCTTATCAGAGAGATATACGATAGTTGGAAGGTCAAGAAGTTTAATTACGAATGTCGAAATGAGGAATAATGAGCAAACAACTGAACATGCTAATGCGATGGTCCAAAAAATTCTACAAAAATAAAATCATTAAAAATTTTATTTATAATTTAAGAACAGAAACTTACCTTTCAACAATATGATATTGCCTTGAAATGTAGCAGAATCCATGAATTGTTGAAATTTTAAAATACTTTTGAACATCAAATTTCATTGCTTTATTTCCCTTCAACTAAGTATTTATTTATAGAGACTAATACGTGGAATGATGAATATATTGTATTAGCTACATGCTTTATCAATAAATCTCATATGCCACACGCTAAGTGCACAATTAAATAATTCATTAATTTATAATTGAAATGAAAAACATTGACTCAAGTAATCATGTTGGCAAATTTAATAAAACAAGGATGGGGGGTAAAATCCCCGAAAGATATTAATTCCACGATCCTGCGGGATAATAACCCCGAAAATCGCAAATTTTTAAATGTTCCCTGCGGGATAATATTCTCACTTAGAAATACAAGTGGGATTATTATCTCCCAGGTAGATAATAATTTCACTTACATTTCTAAGTGGGATTATTTTCTTTATGGAACACGATTAAAATTATGGATTAAATCAAATCCAAAAACTTATTTGTCATAGTGGATAATAATTCCACTTGTATTAATAAGTGGATTTATTATCTAATAGGATGTTCATCCAAAAAAATCCCATTTATTAATTTGTCAATTTCATTATTCCAAAAACTTAAATATGAAGAAAACATAAATATTGGTTGAATGTTTGCTTTTTAAAAATATATTATTCCAAATTGTTTAAAAAATAAAATCAAGGTGGGTTCAACTGATCTAAAGATGTTAGCTATTCCATATAAAATTATGTTCGAAATTCGCTCGAATGTTTAAAGAAAATAGAGCCGTAATTCCATTTTGTTTCGCTTCATTCATTCAACTGTTTAAAAATCACAGTTTTGTTCAAATGTTTAGAAGTAGATATGTTAACCTCTAATGGGCAAAATAATAAATTTTCGATTCTTTCCTGAAATTTTCCAAAAGTCATTCAAATAATTGTAAATTGCCCTTAACAAAATTAGATTTATAAATATAATCATAATATTTGTTTACACATTTTGCTAAGAAAAATGTAAAGATTTAAACATAAAAAGGACGCAAAATTAAAATTCTGATGCTCAAATTCTTATTAAATTAACTAGAATTTTAAAATGATGGCAGTTCTGATGCTGTTTAACCGTGTCTACAAGCCCCAAGAAGGTTTCCAATGGTTTTAATACATTTAAGAGATTTGATTGTTTATAATCTCAAAATTTCGAAATTATTCTGATTATTCAGGTATACAGGGTTACTTAAACAAACTGATGGCCACAAATTTATTGAAAATGTTCAGCAAATAATTAAAGTGATTCGTACAAAACTCAAACGTAATATTTTGTAAGTTCTTTCAAACTTGAGCTCTTTTGAAGAAAAGCTTAAAATAAAACCTGTCAGAACTAGTATATCGGGCAGAAACCCAATGCGGATTATATTCACACCGTACCATCAAAAGTCTAATGGATAGACCAAGATTTTCCCAGCATAAGTATGAAGGTATGAAGCAGTATGAAGCTTGATAAGTCAACTGAGCTTCGCTCAGCATAAGTTTGAAGATATAAAGCTAGCGAGAGAGCTGAGCTTCGCTCAGCATAAGTTTGAAGGTCTAAAGCTTAACGAACATTCTTTAAAAGTTTTTAAAAAAATTTTTCATCCAAACTTGAATTTTATAAAAATCACAGTCAACTTTTGTTTTAAAAAAATTCGTAAGAAAGGAAAGTTTTTTGCTTTTTCTGAAGCAACGGCTGTTCTTACCTTGCCCAAAAACAATACAGCTCTTCTATAGAGCAGCACGGATCAAATGTAAAAAACTAGAAGTCTCTACAACGTCTCGTTATTGAGATTTCTTGCTGATTAACTTGCTTGCTTGCTTGTTTGCTTACAGAAAGCGTATTTTGCGATTTTCTCAGCAATGCCACAACCAATTTGAAATCTGTTTTTTGAAAATGATGTAAAATTTCAGGCACAAACTTTTCTTCTTGCCCTTTTATAACCAATTTTGCTTTGTTTTCTCACAAAATGCGAAAAACTGATTTTTCAATCTGAACAAAACCAATAGATTCACACGTGAAAACTATGTGAATATAAAAAAATTTTATATCCTAAAATAGATTTTATATTCACACCGTATTCACTTTATTTTTGTTCAGCTTGAAAAACAGTTTTTCGCATTTTGAGGAAAAAAAGCAAATGGGCAAAAACAGAATTTAAATTGGCTGTAGCATTGATGAGAAAATCGTATGATAGGTAAGCAAACAAGCATCAAGGCAAGTAAATCAGCAAAAATCTCAATAACGAGGCATCTTAGAGACTTCTAATTATTGCATTTTGATTCTTGCTGCGTTAAAAAGGATAAGGCTTTATTTTTTTATTGAGTAAGGTAGAAACAACCATTGCTTCCAAAAAAGCAAAAAACCCTGCATCCTCTATCCTGCATCACGTGAACTCAAATTTTGCCAATGACAAAAATGATAAAAACGTAATTTATTAGTTGCGCACGTTTTAAATTTTGAAAGACTTCATTTCAAAACTATTTGCAAAAACAAAAAATTGAAAATTTTTTTGTGAATATGATTTCTTGAGTGAAAAGATCTTTGATACATTAAACATCTAGGCTCTAGGCTTTTAGAAAATTTACAAAAGGCATAAAAAACCAAGTTTTCAACTTAAACATTCAACCAATATTTATGTTTTCTTCATATTTAAGTTTTTGGAATAATGAAATTGACAAATTAATAAGTGGGATTTTTTTGGATGAAAATCCTATTAAATAATAAATCCACTTATTAATACAAGTGGAATTATTATCCACTATGACAAATAAGTTTTTGGATTTGATTTAATCCATAATTTTAATCGTGTTCCATAAAGATAATAATCCCACTTAGAAATGTAAGTGAAATTATTATCTACCTGGGAGATAATAATCCCACGTGTATTTCTAAGTGAGAATATTATCCCGCAGGGAACATTTAAAAATTTGCGATTTTCGGGGATATTATCCAGCAGGATCGTGGAATTAATATCTTTCGGGGATTTTACCCCCCATCTAAAACAAGCATCAAGCTCATGTTAGTACGGAGCAAATAATATAAACGACATTGCCGTAGTTTTGTATTTCTGGAATTATCTTAATCGTATTCAAAAATTTTAAAATTTTAAAAAAGGATTTGCTTTCATAGAATTGTCATTTTAAATCTTGATCTTTGAAGGTTAACTATAAGATAGAAACAAAATTGAGTGCCTATTAAAATAACAAATTTCAGAAATTAGAAATTTCATTTTTACGAACACGTCATTGTTACGACCATATCATTTTTACGAAAAACAATTTTTTCGATTTTTTTATAAATTTCAAATTCAAAAATGTCGTTAATTTCATCACGTGTTTTCTTTAATAGTAAATCTGCAGAAAAAGATTAATAGAACAAATGCTTTTTAAATGTTTGGAATTAAAACGTATTTTACCACTAGTAGCTAATTACAAATCACAAGAGTTTTTCTGTTTCTTCCAGAATGAAATTTCAGATCATTTGCTCAAAATAAATCAAATTTAGAACTAAAACTACTTTACCGTAGTTGCACACCCCTGGAAACAAAGGGTGTGGTACTGATGAAATGATCAAAAATGATCATAATAATAGTGCTTTTATTTAGTGAATTATGTTTGGCTACATTTGAAAATATATTTAAGACCAACCTTCAAGGTTTTAATTTAAATACCGTTTGATTATTAATAAGATTTTGAGTATATGAAATAATTGAATTTGGATGAAAAATGTGAAAAAAAACATCCCAAAAAATGATCAAAAATGATCAAAAAATGACCAAAAATGATCAAAATGTAATTTTTCAGTTCCACACACTTGCTGGAAACAGAATCAATTACATGTTTATGATCACATAGTGAGTTTGTGTGGTTGTAGAACATTCATTTGATGAAAGGATTCCGTCATCCAATTGAAATCATTTCCCTATTCAACGTGGAAGCTGAGAAGGAATAAGAAATATTCGCGTGTGTATGCATTTGATTTTCGCACATAAGCGTTACGCTTTAACACAATTGATTTGTTATATCACACTTCGTTAAACTCCACTTCTTTTTCCCATTCTGATATCAAATAAACAGAAATATGGTTGGCATGGTTGCTCTTTTGCTGTGTGGACGTTGTTTAAATTCATTTTACAAAAGGTAAGAATTGATTTGAAATTTTTAACGGAAAATTCAAATTTGAAATTTCGATACGATTTTTTTGAATTTAAAAAAACCGTTATTCAAATTTTAGAAATTGTAGCCCAAAATAAGGTTATAATGCGCTGTAAGTCACTTCCCACCGAGAATATCGATGCATCCTCACGTGTATGTTTGCGTATGAATGTTGACATGGGGTATGTGAATCCAGATACTTGATAATGAATCCATCCCTTTTCTTTTATTTTCCTTCTTTTGTTTTTCTCTTCTTCATCACTATTTTACATGCATTAAGATTTATATTGTTTGCCTTTTCCTATTGTTTTTTTTGACATGCTGTGGAAAAAAATTCATGCTTCAAGCTATTGATTTTGCTCATTCTTTACACATTCGGTTTTGAAATTATTTTCATGAACACAGAAAATTAATGTTGTAAAAAATTGTATGTGCTAAGGAAATAAAAGAAAGTTGGAAGCAATAACGAAGAAATCGCTTCGAGACAGATTTTGACGATTTTTTTCTTGTTCTGTTTTGTGATTAAAACATTTTGTAGAGTAATGAAAAGACATGTTTTGGGCTGTGTCTTTGAAATTTTGAGACTAAAGATGAATTTATTAAGAATCCTCATGATAGAGGATAAAGAGCCGTGCGTGGGAAATTTTGACTGTGCAGTTGGATGGGGAAGGAGGGGGGGGGAACTGGTCCGTCTTATTTGGGATCTTCAAAATCTTCATACTGATTATATGGCACACTTAATAGAAATAATAATTTTTAAAATACGAGGGGTATGCAACTACACAGCAAAACTTTACAATTAATTTTTATTTCTAATTTTTATGGCAAAAGCATCAAAAACTTTCATTTTTATCATGAAAGCTTATCTCTTTAAATACCATTTTATTTTAT